AGTTATGTCTGTGCAAGTGTTGTAAATGCAGATGTCCTAAACAAAGAAAACTAACCCATGACCAGACCGATGCAATACCTGCGGAGGGAAGCAGATTAGAGTGCAGTCAGCCCTTAAGTAACCCAGGAACACACTGGGTGTCACAGGTGCTCCTGATTACCCTAAACAGCCACTCACAGAACCAATAGCCGAACTAGAACCACCCACAAGACACACGATGACCTCAGGGGTCATCACAATAGCTTGAAATATGTGGAAGTGAAAGTGTTTCAGGGTTGTTCTTGCAGTGTAGAGTTTTGACATTTAAAAAAATGAAAGCAGCATTAAATTGACACTGATGCTAATGTGTGCGTCTGAGAAGACAAGTATAAAAATGTATAACAAAAAAAAAAAAAACATCTTATGTGGGAGTAATAGCAAATAAATTATACAGTCTCCATCCAAAGAGGCACAACTCTGCAACCCAGAGGACCCAAAGCATCCACTGCCAAAATACCAGTGCCACATACCACAGAACACCCCCAGAGATCCAGTTCATATGACCCAGTGAGTCAGATATTGGGGATGTGAGAAAGATCTAGACAATATAAGGCAGATGATTTCACTGTTGTGTCACAGCAGTGTATGTTGACTTGACTGTATTTCCGATCATACACTGGGGGAAAAAAAGGAACAGTAGTCCTAAAAGACTCAAATGTAGCTACAATGACGTCCAAAAGTCTGAAACCACTACAGATGATACTACTGTTTTGCACTCATTTTTAAGTTAAGCCAAAATTTTCCATGCACCTCAGTAGATTGTCAGTCATTCAGGTCGTGGTAACCCTAAGAGCTTCAGTAGAAGACAACTGGCCTTCTCTCTTTGGTTCTTGAATACATTTCAGTTCACATCCAGGAACCTGCTTCAGTTCTGACTGATGGGGAATTCCAGAGATATGTTATCACCCCCAAACCCATGGCTCAAACACCCAGAACTCGCATGCCTCAATGTATGATTGGTTGTGACTTTTTTTTTGGTCAAGGATGTGTCATGTTCCCCCAGAATCAGCCCTTGTCTGTCTCCCTCTTTTCCTCCTCCTCTGCCTCTGTTGTCCTTCCTTTCCACCTCTCTCTCTCTCTCTCTCTCTCTCTCCTCTTTGATCACCCTCTCAGTCCATCCATCCTGCCTGTCTCCAATACCTGCTTCATTGCAGGTATTGCAGGCAGCTGTTGGGATTGGCTCAACTGTCCACAATCACCTTCTGCTCCCATAAAAACCCAGCTTGTTCCACCACTCACTGTCAGACCATAGATCATGAAACCCAGGTTCCCTGTTGGTCCCCAAGTTGTCTCCTGCCTCTCCTCCTGGAGCCACCACCACCTGAACCCCCCTGCAACGACACACTCGCTGCCCTGATCCTGCCGCAACCAACCGGTACCTGCCTCCAGCTCTGCCCCTACTCTGTTGTTTTCACTTTTATTCCTTGTTAATAAATCACCTTGTTCACTCCAGCACCACCTGGGTTTCCAGCCCCCCCATAACAGGATGACTCAAGGTGTTAATGGTGGGGAAACTTTCTGGGAAGAGACTATCAAGGCTGCATGGTAAGTAGCTGATAATTGGTGTCATAGACCCCCTCCCCTGCTTAGAGAGGGCTGTTCCAGTTTAAAATAGATGACTGTCTTCACTTCTGTCTCAAACCATCTGTTTGGTCTTATTCTGGGCAGAGAACATCGATGGACTTATGATAGTTTCTCATTCGCACCTCAAGGCATGTGAGTCTTGGGTTGTTAATAGACCATCAGGGGCCGTCATTAGGGATGGATATGTATAACTAGGACTCCACATCAGGAAGAAGCCATTGGATAAAAGGTGAAACTTCTTCAAGAACCAAAAAGAGAAGTAAAATTGTCCTCGACTGAAGCTCCTAGGATTTTATTTTCTTTTTTTTGTAAAATGACATTTTAATGCAACTTCTTGAGTGATAAGTTAAATATATGAAAAACATACATATGTTTCAGAATGTCTTGGTATTTGGTGAGCCACCCTTTTGCTTCAACGATGGCATACACTTGAGCTGTCTTCGCAAGTTTGTGCAAAACCTGATGACACTACTTATCCCAGGATGATCTGACAGTGATTCAAAGAGCTTCTTGTGATGTCAGGACTGCTGGGCTTTCCACAGTCTTCAAGTGCCCTCATAAATGCTCAGCTGGATTTAGGTTGCGTGACTTGTGGAGGAAAGTCCATGACGGGCAGCACTTCTCAGTCCTCTTTGGTTTTCAAGTAGTTGTCAGAGATTTGAGATGTGTTTGGGCTCATAATCCTGCTACAATGAGTCATTTTTCACAAAGATGCAAACTAGAGGGTGGGGCTTGTCTCTGAAGAAAGGAGGGCTACTTCTCCTTAATTAGAATGGAGGCAAAACACCACCAGAATTAAATATTCTCACCATGTTTCCCCTGCGGGTTTACACAGTTTCATTACTTACACCCTTCTGTTGCTGCTACTAATCTCAAACTTGGATTCATGAGTAAACAAGACATTTTTCCACTGTGATATTTTGTGTTTGACCTTGTTTCCCCTCCTGAGACGTGCTTTAGAGATGGCTTATTCTCTGAGGCCACTGCTAGACAGCTTTCTTCTGATAGTGCTTTTGCTGATTGGGGTCTTTCATGCCTTATTCAGCAAATTCTATATTCACGATGAAGTTGTTTTTCTGTCTCTCAGAAACAAAGCTTATGGTATTGATCTTCTGATGGTGTGGTCACTTTTAGTCTGCCTCATCCTGCCTTAGATACAATTGATTCACTTTCCGCAGAGCATTTTAGAGCGCCGTGCCCAGCCCCCTCTGAAACCGTCAGTCAATTGCGATTTGATGCCGACAAGGTTCCTCTTTGCTCAGAATAACAACATAAGTTCTGATGCTTTTACTTATTTCTGATGCCATGTTTCCCACCATCACAATGCTACTTACTGAGCAATATTGTGCAGGAAACTCGAAGTGCAGCCACATATCTTAACAGGTAAACAGTGACTGCAAGCAGAGTTTGCATCCACCAGCCTGTGGTGAGTGTCATCTGAACACTGCTTCAGTGGAAGGACACAACTTAAGCAAAGCTGACTTTTTGTACAAATGAGTTGACAGGGTCAGTGCCACTAATTTGCTTAAATTTAATTACTGACCTAGAAATAGTGCAGAATATGAAACATTTTCTCCTCATTTTGCATATCAGAACTTCTCGTGTTATTAAATGTTCCTGAATCCTTCAACATGTCCTGTTATTTGCATGGAAATGTGGCAGATGTAGACTTTTGAATCCCACTTTGTCATTTCTGTTATTTCAAATCTCCACAAAGGTGTAGTGCACATGTATTCTATACTGTTGCATGTTATTTTGCACATTCATTTCCTTATTTTTCTTAAATGTAATATGTGTGAGCTACTTGATGCCTTGAATTTTCCCCAAGGGGATGAATCAAGTATTTGTCTTTACTGATATGAGAGAGCAAAAGTATACAGTAAAAGATACTGTACATTTGTTTACGTGTGAATTAATGTGCTTTAATTTAACAGTAGCAACCTGTATGTCTGTAGTTACAGTCATCGAATATTAAATACCCTGCGTCTATTGTTGCGAATGAATTATCAAATCTAATGACAAACCATTTTCTGTTTGTGGCTTTTGGACAAATTGAAGTCTTAGGCAAATTGAGTTTGATTATCAAGATTTACATTTTCATTAAAGACACAATGAGCAGCACGAACGCAGCAGTTGAATAGAAACATTAAATAATTAGCAGTGACTGCGCATTATGGTGGCGGAGCTGAAAAATAACATTCTACTGAGTGCTGTTTTGTATGTGTCTCAACACTCAACTGAATTTATAAAAAAAAAAAAAAGATGTCTAAGAATAGCATGTCTACACAATACATTTAGAGCAAGCCTGCATTATGAGTCCATGAGTCATAACAGCTAATCAATAAAACCACATTGATTTCCCAGGGAGTCCAGCGACCGCCTGAGTTAGCTCATTAAAAGCTGAGTCCAGAGAAAATGGATCTGCAATATCTTGGGCCTAATGCCACTGGATGATGGACTGCAGCTTCCATTTTTTTAAACTTGACTGCATTTTAACATTTCAAATATGGACTCAAATCACCTTTTGAAGTAGCGCTTCTTCAAATTGCCTCAAGCTTTGACTTTTAAGAGTATTGCAGTGAAATAACAGCGTGAGGAGAGGGCATTTCTTTGGAACATTGTGCAAGTTTTTTTTCCCCCTCTTACCTTTTTATCTGTCTGTGTCTTTTTTAAATAGAGCGATCTCTTGACTTGGAGAAAATCCCAAATGTGATGGGGCAAAAAAAAATAAATTCTTGCAAGTCGTGGCTTTCTTTCCAAAGAATTCTACATTTTTCTTCATGTCAACAGATCCCACCCATGAAAGCATAAAAACCATCAATGCATTAATTGTCATTGCTTTCCAAATTCCCTAAACTGTCTGCAACCAATTTGTTCCTGGACATTAATCTTTAAAGGTTAGAAATATGTGCTTTCATTTTTTAAACTAATTTCCTAAAGCGGTTGGGTGCTGTAGATTTTAGTGTACGTTATCCAGATGGGTTTAAATCTTATGTTTATCTTAGAGATTACTTTCTGTCAGGGAAAACGAATGATGCTTCGGTGAGTATTTCCAGCAACCGGATGTGATGCATATGGGGGGTTGATTACCATCATAATGTTAACTGTATTACACTGATGTTTTTTTAATAGGGTTTAGATAGCAGGGTGGCACCAAGGTAAAGCTATACCAGACTTTGACTACCCAGACAGTACTTGTAGGTAGGATCAGTACATGGCTTTTGATCGAAACAACAAAATACAACCAAAAATCAGCAGCCTCGTCCTTAAAGTATTTACTAATGACCTCGTCTCCTATCGTTTCTCCTTCAAAAAAATCATCCTCAAGTATGCAGAAGTGAGTATTTTTTTGAAAGAAAGTAACACCACTAGATGTGTATTAACTTAATAAGGGAACATTTTAATGAGGTTACAAAGTTTTCATACTGAACAGCAAAACACATGGCATATTTCACTTGTTTCTTTACAACGTTTGCATCATATAGTGGAAAAACAAGTGTTGCCAGTGGTCACAACAGAGGCAGCAAGTACATTTCTATTAACGTACATCACATATAGCACGGAAGTAGTTTAGTTATTTTCAGAGCACAGAAACCACACACAATTCAGACTGAGCAGTAAAAATGTCAGAAAAAAGAGTTGTGGGTGTAGAAGCCTCAACATCCTCACACTAGCTTTATGACATGTACACTTTATAAATAATAGAAAAAATACTGATGTTCATTCATTCTTTCTTTCTTTCTTGTCTGTATATTGTTCATTACATTTACAGAAAGTTTACAGGCCTTTCAAATATCAGAATGTATGAATGTAAGTAAACCCTCCATCTCTCTTTGTCACACACATGCACATGCCTGCTGATTGCTCTTTTCACCGACCTACCAGACGTGTGTCACACAGCCGCGTTGACTTCACGTTTAATCACCTTTATGTGTGAAGCTAACTGCCAGGTGCTTGGATGCACGGACTTATCATGCGTTAAACCCTCCTCACGCTGTAAATGTCACCAGCAAAACATGATCATCACTCATTCCCTGCCTAAAAACACACGAGGGCATCTGTTCAAACCACTGATTTATTTGGTTTCCCATTCACCACGCCTCGCTGACATTCTGACACTGTCGACTCACGAGCATGCTAATAAAGGCTTTCTGTGGCATACTTTAGAGTTAATGCACATTTAACTATGTCAGGGTCACCCAATCACACAATCATTGTATAGATTGGAAGGGAGACATAAGGGCTCTTCAACTCCAGCGATGCCCAACAACAAACCAGAAGTGGCTACCGTTGAAGTACTCTCAGGAGAACAGAACCTGGGACGACAATCCAATTACCTAGCTCTGAGATGCACGCATTGTTCAGCCCTCTCCTCCACACTGAGCAGGATGTGATGGAGAAAAAGGACAGAAAAATAATGCGGCAGCTTGTTTCTCAAAGGATGCCTGTCCACACACAAAGGGTTGATTATGGAATATAATAACCCTTCTACTGACTGGCTAAGTCTGGAGATGAAGACTTGTGTTTAAAAAGCAATAGTATTATGCATAACAATGTATATGTATGCAGATACACATACGAACATGCATACAAATGCACACTTGTCTACCACAAACAGCAAATGTTTTCATATTAAATTACTATTAGGCTTTCCTGTGTTGTATGCAGTTAGAGCACAGTCCTCCGTCCTTGTCTGTCGTTGCTTTTTCCAGCACAGTTTCATCTTCTCTTGGACTATGTTACTGACCAGCACGTACAGCACCGGGTCCACCACGCAGTTCAGACTGGACAGTGCCAGTGTACATGAGAAGAAGAAGTGCATTTTTTGCTCAAACTCGCAGTAACTTCCTTTAGGATCTGTGTTCTCGCTGTTGTAGAAGGCTAGTGAGCGCGCGAGCAAGAGGATGTGATATGGAGCAAAGCAAACTGAAAAGATCCCAATCACCCCAAAGGAGAGCAGGCGGACCTTCCTCTTAGCCTGAGCGCTCAGGCCAGGACTTTGGCCCACAGTGGCCAGCACCCTCCAGTAGCTCACCGCCAACACTAGCAGGGGTAGGAAGAAGCCGACGCCCACTCTGATCATATTGAACATGGCAATAGGCGGCTTCATGGGGAAAGTCTCATAACAACGGTCATTGCCTTTCACTTCGTCATGGGCATCTGTGAGGTCGTCAAAGTACAGCACTATGACGTGCAGCGCCATCACCACAACATAAACAATGACGCACTGCGCCCAAGCGTAGCGAGGTGTACGCTGGGTCTTGAAATGCAGTGGGAAGCTGACCACCAGGCAGCGGTCCACAGAGATACAGCAGAGCAGGTAGATGCTGACGTACATGTTGGAGTAGTAGAAGAAACCAGCTACACTGCAGGACATAGGACCCAGCTGCCACTTGTGGTCCTGCCGGTAATAATTGATCCAAAGGGGCATCGTGAAGATAAAAAGTATGTCAGAAATAGACAGGCTGAGCAGGTAGATTCCCAAAATGTTTTGCCGCTTCACTTGTTGGACAATGGGGCCCAGGGTCAGCACATTGAAGATCAAACCGAGGATGAAAGCCACGATGTAAACAGTCATCAGCAAGTCACTCATGAAGCTTTTTCCGATTTCAACACAATCTCCAGGTGATGCTGTGGTGTGACCTGATGGCCCGGCTGTGGTGTGACCTGATGGCGTGGCTGTGGTGTTCATTGTCCCTTTGGTTTTTCTGCCACTTTCCTGGTTTGAAATTCACCTGCAGGAGCAAAAAGAGAGTTTTATAGTAACAGTTTGTGACACAAGCTTACTCCTGCTATACCTCAAAATTCATAATACAGCTAGGACACTTTGTGTCCTCTATTCTATTTCGTGGTTCAGTGACCTCACGAGATAAAAATCATCTGGTTGTCCTGATGTTTCCCTGAATGTGAGGCAGTTTGGCTCTACAGTATATGGTGCTTGGGCAGAAAGTCGAAGTTTTCCCCCCGGAGAAGACACAGGCTTAGTCATGCTCCTTGATGATAACGGTTTTCACCCACGGTTCAACAGAAACTGCGAATGCCAAAATTCCCTCTTTACTGCCTCAGCTGCTCTGTATGGAGAAAACATGTCACGCATTTTTTTTTCATGAATGCACTGGTTTTATAGGAGCTGAGAGCATTAAGAAACTAATGCCTCTATTAAGTGAATTTGATGTAGAAACCTCTGCTCCCAACCCCCGAGCTATTATTTCATGTTAATGCTGCTTTTTGTTAAATTGTCTATAAAGTGTTGCACTTTACCCTGCATGATCTAAATCTGAGTGGCAGGCAGGGGCTGCACTGACTAGACTGGCAAAGTGGGCATTTGCATATTACAGTAATCAGTGCTTAATCCAACTTAAGTTTAATTCATCAGCGCTGTAAGAACCAAGAACCAACCAACAGTTCGCTAATCGCTAACTTAAAGACACCTTATAGAGACAGACTGACAGGTTCATTTATTGTGTAGCTTTAATTTAATGTAACAGCCACCAGCAGAACTTATCTCTACGAGACAAGACGGATGTAGATGTTTACTGTGGCTTGAAGAATGACGAATGGGAACTTCACACACTGTATGAATTTATCAATTAGTTCCCTGCCTGATTGACTGAGTAGATGCATCATCAGACCTGCTCCATCACAGACCTGTGGGTGTGATTTCAGCCTGCTAAGCCAGACACATCCTACAGATTAAACTGTGTTGCTTCTTCCTCAAAATGATCTCCTGCTAAAATGGCACAGAAAGGCCAAAATAAACCACATAGCTAAAGGTCACCTGACAATTGGAAAAATTGGTCACCAGTCTTTCCTAACTGTAGATCCTGTGAATCATTTCAGAGACAACACAGTTTAGTTCTTTCTTTTTTTTTTCTTTAGATTAAAAACAGAACTTTTAAGATATGTTTTTATATGTATTCTTCCAATTTCCTGCTTTTCTTTGGGACTTCAGCTTTAGGAAATCAAAACTTTACCCTGTATCTCTGTGGCTTTCTCTGATATTTGTTTTCTCTCTTTTCTTTTTTTTTTTTTGGTTTTGTTCTGTCTCTCAGGCTTGTCCCTGGTGTGTTTATGGGCTCAGGAAGCATCTAATGCCATTAACGTCTGGAAATTCAATAACAGAGAGGCCATTTAGAGTCAGACCGTCTTTAGCGGAGGGTAATGTGTGCCTGTACATGTGTGCATGTCCATGTCTGCAGGTGTGTTTGAAATAAGTTTGATTTAATGGATTACTCTTTTTTTTTTTTTTTTAAATGATCAGGGAGTTACTGTAATAGTGAAAAGTTTTGCGCAAAAGATTTTACTGAAGTTGTTCATATTTAGTCATCAGTCTGGATGCTATGAGTAATCATAAAAGAGGAATCCCCTCTTATTAATATTGGAGCTTATCTATAACAGGAAAGTTTTATGTTCACATCCGTTTACATACAGTCTTATCTTTTTACGTTGCCTTTTACTATCAATATAGTTTCTTTCCTTTTTTCAGCTTTCTGTAATTTCATGTATACTCTACATGTAAAGTGTTTTCTCCTCTCACACAACCCTAACACAGGCCTGCTTCACACAGCTGCTTCGAACTTCAGTTTGTTCTTTCAAGCATCTGAGCCAACTATGTGTTTGTTAATATTATAAGCTCCACTAAACCTGGTTGTTATTGGAAAGCCTTGTCACCAGCAAGCCTTTAAAAGAGCAAAAGTTCAGCCTTTCCTCTCAGGAGGGGGAACGCGCTACATTCCAAATCCAAACGAAATGAAAATATGTTTTTATTTTGTGTTTTATAGCCTGCCTCCCTAATACCAAAAGCAACGCTTCCAAAAATGTCACAGTCCGACTGTATGTCGATATGAATTTTAACAATTGCTTCGGCTGTTGCACTTTCCAGCTTGCTGCGGTGACCACCGCTGGGAGAACCACAGAAAGCGTTCGACCCTGCAGAGATTCAGCATTTGTAGCCTAATTATTTTTGCAATGCTGACTCACACAGCCTCAAGCATGCTGTCTTTTCCTTGACAGCAGTCAGTTGGGGATGAAAAGAAACCCAGCAAAAAAAAAAAGTACGGTTTCAAAATCAATTAACACCTTTAACACCCAAATGTTTGCCAAACACTTTTTTAAAAAAAGAGTACTTCAGGTCCATAACCTTCAGACATCTTAAGCCAAAAGTTTAATCAGTGATCACCTCACCTGTCGTTTTTTTGTAAGATGTGTCTCTTGTTTGTAAAAGAAAGCTGTCCAGTCCAGGTGAAGAGTTTCAGACACATTCCAGAGCTGCTTCAGATTTGGCAGAGTTCAGTCCAGGAAGGTCACAGAACGGGCTTCAGAAGAGACTCTTCATAGTTGCTGACATCCAGCCAAGCCTGTATAGTCCCACGTGGTCCTTCCAAATGATCAGTAAATTAGTTAATTATCAGCCAATACAACAGCTTCTGACTGCAAGAGCGTTTTCTCTGTATTCACTGTTTAACTTTTTCACTCTGTGCGAGATAGCTTCCCGTTGACAGCCACAGCTGAAATGTCAGCAAGGAGTGTGTAGAGGAGATGAGACAAAGTACAAAAAAGGGGAAGACGCGTGTAGGAGGAGGGAGGTTTGCTTTTGCACACGTGCATGCAGGAAGTATTCAGGGGTGGAGATACTCGCTGGACGGTAATGGAACAGACATGATGCATGCGTGGGTACCCACGAGACAAAAACCCCTCGCGTTTAAGGGTAACTGAAACTCTGTGGGTAGACAGCCACAGTGTTTGTTTTGTACTGTAACCATGATTTCCTCATTTGTTATGCAATGATAAGAGTCTTTTAATACTGCGACCGGTGTGTAAATGTGTGTGACGAGTGTAATCATAGCAGAGCCACTCAGTTCCCTCATCATTTTTCTTCCTCTGTGTAAAATTCCTTTTCACAGAGTTTGGCTGATCACTGTCAGCCTGACTCAGTGCAAGAAAGTGCTTCAGTCATTTCCCTAAAGAGTTTGAACGAGGTTATGAAGTGAACTGATTTATATGTTGGGAACTCTGTACCAGGCAGTGCTTTACCCTGAACCCTGAACTCAGTTTCCGTGCAGTATCGAAGGCTCTTTTACTGTTTATGCACACACACAAAAAAATCATCTGTGACGCAAACCTGCAGCCGATCTGTTGATGCGTTGAGTAAACATCTGCGGCAGATGTGAATGAAGGGTATTTTCCTATGAGCAAGAATACATACCTGAGGTCAACGAACAGAAAAAGAGGATGTTACAAAAAGAGAAACTGTGTTCAAACATTTGATAATAAGCCAGTGTAATAACCTAAAGGGGTTTTCTAGATACTCATTGTGGTACCAAGAGCATTTATTTCTTCTTTCCACAGAAACACCCAGTTGTCACTCGAGTTTCCATTCAGACTTGTTTTCTACTGACTGCCAGCATTTCAGTATCAGTAGGAGGCTTTAAGTGTTGTATCGGTTTGTGTTTAAATGGAATTACACTCTAAATCAAGAATCTGGTCTGACTTTATTTTAAAAAATGACACCCTAAGTAGATACTCTTTAGGATGACAAATGCAGGGTTTAGTGCAGACTTTGGAGTTAGGTCTGTTGCTGAATATTGGCCGTAGTGAAGCAGGTTGTCCTGTTTGTTAGGCTTGTAATGTTACATTTAGCTAGTTTACACCCTTTTATGTTAGCTGCTAACCACATTACATCACTATATTTAAAAAAATAATAATTGTCTTCGGTAGTTTCTTGGCCAACTAGCTTGTATGATTTGAAGCTGTTCTTGCCAAAACCTTTAAATCGTTCTCGACCACACCAACCACAACTAAAATACAGTCAAATAATCCGAAAGGCTGCAGCTGCTCAGTTACAGTTTGTGGCTTTCCAGCCTAAAAGGTTAAAGTTGCACCATATCTTTCAGAGAAAAGCATTTTTTGTGACAGCGGCTGACGTTTTAAAAGCACAACTTGTCTGTGAAAATTTTGTGATTGCGTTGAGTTGTAAAGTGTGCTGACGTTTTCACAACAGTGTAGCCTGGGAAAGACACTTTGTGAACTTCACTTTTCCTTTTCATTTTTTATTACCTAATATGATGCTGACATGTAGAAAGTAGAAAATGTTTGGCTCTTTTAAAAAAGAGAACAAGACAAGGAAACATGCATTTCAGTTCCCAGCAGCAGCAGCACGCTCCAATAAACTTCTGAAAGTTGAGCTCATTGTGTGCTTTACCTCTGTCACGACACACACAGTTTCGAGTTTCGTTTTAGAACATGCATAAACCGTTTCTACAGTTACTGAGAACCTGTCTTTACCAGTGAAACAACAGCATCACTAAGAACGCTTACATATTTCTCAGAAGTAAGCGTCTTCTAGTGCTAATGACATAGCTAAGAACAGACAAATCAGCTTTGAAGGCTAAATAATAATGAGGCTGAATGTAGAATTTGCAGAATTTTAAAACAAGTATTATTTTAGCAATTCATGTGTCAAGTCATTCATCACTTAAAATGTAAATATAATGAAATCAAATTGATAGTTTATTGTGTCCTTCAATACCAATTTCATTCTGTAAACTGATTTCTAAATACCGTTCTTTAATATATAAATTCATAAGGAGTCCACATTTGTACTATGAACCTCAGTGTTGATGCTTCAACAAACCATTAGACGTACGCGACAATCTAATGTACATTTCTAGACCTTTTGAATGACCCTGCTGCTCCTAATGATTGATTTTTGTGAAAAATCTGTTCGATAACTCATTTAAATTTGACAGACAGATCAGCTCAATGGTTGAAATATGCTTTTTGCAGTAAAGATTTTTAGCCACGGTGAAGGCCAGTCTCTCTCCCTTTAAAAAAAAAAAAGCCCTCCATGTCTTTATTAGCACCCAGTCAGACTACTGTAATTCTTCGTATGTGGGTGTAGAGCAGTCATCTTTTCAGTGTCTGCAGCTGGTACAAAATGTGGCTGCTCATCTTTTAACAGGAAAGAAAAAGAGTCATCACACGAAATAGTGCTGGTCTCCCTCCACTGGCTTGTTTTTAGCTTTTAACAGTTTAAATGGGTTAGTGTAGAGTACTGAGGTTGGCCAATCAGATGCTCCTGGATGTTCTGAAATCCAAGAACAAAAATAAAGGCAATTAAATATTAGAAGTGGCTGCTTTTAATCTCTGGAACTTCTCTGTATCTTCTTATGTAAAAACTGTCCAGATGTTAAGTAACTTTAGGTTACTGCTGGCATTCGATCTTTGACACCCTGACGTAATCCCTTATCGGGTTGTAGTTTTATATTTTTTATTGTTTTATTGTCTTTTTATTCTCGTATATCTTTCGATCACTGTGTTTTACTGTCTTACAGGCTGCTGTTTTGATCATGCAGCACTTAAGTTCAGCTCTTGGTGTTTTTATTTTTAAATCTGCTTTAACGGTAAATATGACTCCACTTGACTTTTGCTAATTTTGTGATTAATTATGATAATATGTAATTTACACCTAAGTGTTTTTTTTTCCCGTGTTCGGTTTTTGTCATAGCAGGCTGGTATGCTACAAAATAGGTTCTGGTGGACCTCTTGGTTTTGCATCTGTCTGACAACTGGAATTGCTCTGCAATTTTCTGTAATTTTGTAAATTGTTTAACACAGTCGAGCTATTCCCTTTCAGAATGCATTATGCCTAAGTGCAAGGGCAAGCTCAGCAGCTGGTATAGCCGTTTAATGTACTTGATGGCCAAACTGCAGGTCAGTGGTTCTGCTGTCCTGACTGCTGATGAGGAGAGTGCAATCAGAATTTGTCATCATGTTACAGAATTCCAGACTAAACATTTTCAGAGCTAACAAGGTTGTTTTTTTTTTTTTCCCTTGTATGTTCACTAACAGTCAAACAGCTGATGGTTATCTCAGGAAGCATCATTACTGAGCGGAGGTGACTTGATAATTGCAATGAGTTAAAACCCAGCAGATCAGTATTTACTTCAGTCCACATTCCAGATTTGGGAGGTTCTGAGTTTTTTCTCTGTTATGTCATCAATGAATTCCAGTAATCCTGCTTTCCAGAAATGTTCACTGCAATAATGCGTTAATATGTGTTACAGATGACATGCAGTTGTAACATACAGCTAGTTGTATTTATTGTAGCAGCACTTAGATACTTTAGGCGTGAGCTTTGTGATGTCACTTGAGCTATCTGATGGCAACACTTCTGATAACCTCTTGAGCCCACAGCCAATTGAATTTTGATGAAAATGCCACTTTTTTCCCCACAGGTTTTATTAATACAGATAACAACCCCAAGACAAAATTGAATTACTCATACTGGCTATAATCAACTGGCCTGGTGTGTGTGTGTCTTCTCATCCCAAGCAGAGCAACAGAACAAAACACCAGACTGCGCTGAAGCTGACAAGAAATGAGCCCTGGGATGTCTCAGAAGCTTAGATGACAAAACTCGGGCTAAGGAGAAAAAAGCAATCAGCAGCTCTTTCTGTCTGGAAGCTGCACTAATTTAATAAAATGTCAAAGTTAACATTTCAAGTGTCTTTTTTTTTCAAGGGTTACTTCTGCTGAACTGTGTTTTTCTTACAGTCAACCAAAACCAACAAAGAACTTATCCCAATAAGATAAACCGTCTTTAAAGCCAAACCCTGGACTAGCTTATTTTTCTACGCCCCAGTTTATATTGTTTCACAAAAACGGAACGAAAACACAACAGTAAACACTGGGTGACAGCGGTTAGCTCATTACCAGAAACTAACACCTTTCTGCTGCTTGAAATCCATCCATCCATCCATTATCTATACACCGCTTAATCCTCACTAGGGTCGCGGGGGGCTGGAGTCTATCCCAGCTGACTTAGGGCGAAGGCAGGGGACACCCTGGAATGTATATAATGGCAACAACTTGACATATATGAACAGTAATGTTGATAATAATAACCATCTTTGGTGGATAGGCCCATCACAGTTATTATATAATTGCCTCATTGCAAATATTTCAGCTGACTCACGATCCATCCATCCATCCATTATCTATACACTACTGAATCCTCACTAGGCTCGCAAGGGGCTGGAGTCTATCCCAGCCAACTTAGGGTGAAGGCAGGGGACACCCTGGACAGGTCGCCAGTCTATCACAGGGCTACACTTAGAGACAGACAACCAAGCACACTCACATTCACACCTATGGACAATTTAGAATCACCAATTAACCTTAAGATGTTTTTGGACTGTGGGAGGAAGCCGGAGAACCTGGAGAGAACCCACGCTGCACGGGGAGAACATGCAAACTCCACATAGAAAGATTCTGGTGGCCCGACCGGGATGCGAACTGGCAACCTCCTTGCTGCATGGCAACAGCGCTACCTTGCAGCCCTGCTTGAAATCCATCCATCCATTATCTACACACCGCTGAATTCTCACTAGGGTCGCGGAGGGTTGGAGCCTATCCCAGCTGACTTAGGGTGAAGGCAGGGGACACCCTGGACAGGTCACCAATCTATCACAGGGCCACACTTAGAGACAGACAACCAAGCACACTCACATTCACACCTACGGACAATTTAGAATCGCTGCTTGAAATGCTAAGTAAAATATGAAATGTGTGTTAATCTACAGCTGAAAGAGGTCAAAGAAATTCACCAAAGCTGATCTAATTAATAAACATTCCTTATGTTTATATATCTCTCTCTATATATATATATATAGATATAGATATTACAAAAGCTTCTATCTGTGGAGGACATTCAGCTAAAAACCTGAAGCCAGTATCACTATGGAAGCCAAAAGCACAGACATATTTTCATCTATAAAGCGCCTTTTCCATCTCAAGGCCATCAGTCAGACCAGACCAGATACAGCTCAGCCCTGCTTTCAGTCGGAAACGTACATTTGTCAAATCATCCCCCTCTTCCAACAAATGAGGTTAACACAGCTTTTCACAGAATTAGGTGAGGCTTCACTTCGGATGCCAGGAATACGTCTCTCTGAGATTCTGGCTCTGGCTCTTTTTGCTTTTATTAAGTGGAAGTTCTCTGCCACCACTTGTCAGCGCAAAGACTGGAAAAGTGTAACTGATGGGATACGGGCGAACCTGGCTTGATTTGAAAGAAATGAAAGGAGACAGAAAGGGAGAACGAGTGCATCATTTGGCATCATTTGGCAATGATGATGGATATAGTGTAGGAGGAACAAGGGTGTGCTTTCACCAGAGTAGCCGGCTGAAGTGCGCTCATTTCAGAATGGAAAACAATTCACTCCCTTCGCCTCTATAGCCACAGGGTCCTCTTAAGTGCCACTCAGTCTGTGAGGTGTAATATGTGTTAAAAAAAAAGTCTTTGTCCTCTGACAGCTGTGAGTAATCTTTGTGTGTGTGGCCACATCAATATGCAAATCCACCATGGCTTTAAGTTCACATTACATGCATCCATATAGCTCTAATGCCAGTACAATTAAGGAGAAATTACAAACCACAAATTCCACGTGGCATAATTTGCTCGTTATTGAAAGCATGTCTTCCTCTGAGTGACAGTAATGGTCCTTGCTTCCTAAATATACTGGTGAGAAAAAGCAAATTGCTTGAATATGACTGACAAGCGTTGGTAGCGAGTCTATCCTTGCTCGTGTTTGTGCGTTTTCTCTTAAGATGAATGACAGCTACGAATGTGTGAATGATTTAATAAATAAAGCTTCCGAGACAAAAATAAACCACTGTTGAAGGTTTGTATTATCTGTCAAAGAGGCCAGGATCATCCTTCAAACATGCTGGACACAGTCTACACATATTTGACAAACTACATAAACGTCAGGTTACACATTCGTATGATAGACTATTGTAACTACAGTATGTTCAATGACGTATCTAGATAAATTCTACTTCACGGAAACATGCAACATATTGACAATAAAAGGTAGTCGATAACAAAAATCTAGTCTAGGAACCCAAGCTGTCTGTCCTCGCGCTCACACCGCAGGGAGAAGTCTGCTCTTGATAGTCTGTTTATGTGCTTGTCGTTACCAGTACATGAATCTTTAGTACAGTCAGCTGTTAAGACATGTTGTTCATCATTTCAATGAACTGCTTCACTTCAGGGATGTCGATATCAATAGAGGCAATTTTCACCACTCAGCAGGAGCTTCTAAAGCTTGTGTTGTCTAATCTGTTGGCTGCAGGTAGAAACGTCTCGCGTGACTGAGAACTGTCCAGTCATAGCAGGTAACATCCTGAATATTAGAGTTCATTTAAACCCACAATGGCATCTTTAATTACATGTGTTTTTTTTAGGACTCTATTGTGGCTCAAAACCAGCGGTAATTACTGGAGGATTTGCTGTCCCTCCAGATCAATACTTTAGTTTTCACTACAGGACATGAATTTATGGGAATGCATTTGTGAATACAGATGGGTTTTCCTCCGTGCATTCACTTTAGTAATTACCGGCACAGAGGAAGTCTTTTGTCACTGTAAAGAGCTCCATCACTGAAAAGAGATTGAACCGGCCTTTAGTGAAGACATAAGAGGGACTGTAATTCCAGTCACCCCAGCTAAACGACACTATGAACAAGCCTTACTTTTCTTTTAATTTGATGCAGCTTCACTTAAATTTAACTACTATTTGTATAGAACAACACCTTTAAAAAAAAACAACCCACAATTCTTATCTTCGCTTTGCGGTGAAATGCTATTTCCTGCCTCCCTTCAAGGCATGTTGCAGCTACAGGAAAGGACTGTGCTGCTTTTCATTCCTGTAACCAATTCTGATATAAAGTTTGACTCCAGTTTTATCTGTGAAGACCTGCTGGGTCAGCCGAACAGACAATGTGAGAGGAATTCAACACTTCAAAAGATGAAAGAGGACCAGAAAGAGCGAGGTAAATGATTTGAAGGACATTTTGAAGAGCTCAAGGCAGACAAGTCAAATTGGATGTAATGCTGACACACAGCAAATGTTGTGCATCGAAAGACCAAACAAGCTGGACAGGATTCTCATTCTTTGTAACTTTCTGTCCTTTTCAGACTCCAGGTGGATCACCCCATCCTCCTTCTCCCCACTTTGTTTCAAAATGAGCTTGAGTCCTCCATGTCTCTGCGGTCAGAGGATGCTGACCCTCTCAGTGAGACCTTGCACATCTGCGTCCTCCCCGCCCTCCTCATCGTCGGAGGCCGGTGCAGGAGGAGGGGGCACAAGGTGAGCCGGGTATGGCAACGTGTGTTCCCGGGCAAACATTTGCCAGCGGCTGTCGTCACTCTCGTGGGTGATGTAACGCTCGCCCAGTTTAGTCTCCAGCTCCCGTAGGTCCAGCCAGGTCTGATAGTCCTGAGAAATGAGAAACAGGAATAAACACGGGGGGTATGAAATTTCACTTTCAGGAGCCTTGAAATTAGATCAGAGTTAAAGGGGCTTTTATGCGTTCATAGTGCATCATGCAGTAATCACTTTAGGTCTTGTGTGTGTGTTTATCAAAGCATGTGTGTTGGTAAGAACTTGAATGACCCTGAAATTATAAATTACACTTTCAACCCAGCTACGCCTACTGTGACACTGAAGATTAATGAATGTGTGGACATTCCTGCAGCAGCAGCAGCAACAACAGTGGACGCATCTAGAGCTACAGAGATATCTGGCTGCTCTCCAGTCTCTTAACATTTTGTTTTGAAGCAGACATTAAAAGCATCATTTTTTACAGCTAATCTATCCTGTTACACCCTCAGTAAAGTTCCAAAATATCAGCCTGGAGCTCCCATCTCACCACTTGGATATGAGTGCACACTCCTCCTGTTTATGTTTGCCATTTCCTTTAATGGTCACACATTTTACTGATGCGATCTTAAGATCTTGAGGTGCTGCTCTGCCACTAAAGTTAATGGCTGCCACCATATCTGGAGAAGATGCTGCATCGTGTGCTTTTATTCGGGCGTCATGGTTGTAATAAAAGTGTGATAAAACTCAAGAGTAAAATCATTAATTATTTTAATGAATAAGCATAAACAGTGTTTGTGTGTGCACACACAGCTACCTGTAAGTATGAATGGCTGAGACTTTTGTCCACACTGTAGCGTTTCCTCATCTTGACTTGCAGCAGGTTGTTGATCAAGTCAATGGCTGCAAACACAAAAGTTTGCAGACTGTTCAGTAAAAGATCGGCAATATTAAATAACATGAAGACGTCAGATATCATCTCTTAACATGCCCGCTGCATCTGGACACTTTTACACCTACATATAACTGTAGAAGAATTATAATGCAAAGAAAAATGAACAGCTGCTTATCACAGATCAAGGTATTCTTGGGAAATGTATTGTGAAATCTAACTTTTTTTATTTTTTTTGCTCTTTTTTAATCTGCCTGTTCTTCCATTTCACATCCTTCCACATTTACACTGAGTTGGCAGTTTATTAGGGTCCCAAGATAACAATTTACAAGAATTTGTGTTGTCTGAGCTGCATGATCAGTGTGGAGGTGTCCTGTATTGCATTATACATAGAGGTGCTTTTGTTGTTTCGTCTACCATTATTGATATAAATTAGTTGGACAAAATAATAGAAACACCTGCCGCTACAACTCATGCATGTACAATCCAACAGCACTACTAACTACATCCTATTAAAATAATCAGAATGGTGAATCATCATCTCTCCAAAACAGTTTGGACGAATAGTTGAACATCACAGCTTTATTGGAAGAAGGATTTATTGCAATCCTGCTTAAAATAATGCAACACTGCACTAGTTTCAGCAGAGTGTAAATCCAGTGGAAAACTCTCTCTGCCACTCTGAGTTTACCATCACTGGAGATCTGTTTCCAGGGGTTGTGAGGGTACATGAAGGCTGCGTTGTGGATCTGGTCATTGATGTCTTCATCCTCATTGAAGGGGAAAGTCCCACTGAGGCTGACGTACATAATGACACCGACTGACCACATGTCCAATGAGCGATTGTAGCCTTGGTTCAGCAGCACCTCCGGGGCCAAATAAGCCGGGGTGCCGACCACCGAGCGACGGAAAGACTTCTCACCGATGATACGAGCAAAACCAAAGTCACACAGCTTTACCTGAGAGACAGAAACAGCCAAGAAGAGCGAGGAGGGATTCATGAGGGGATATAAGGGTGAAAAAAAAAAAAAAAGACGAAATGACAGGGAGACATTTGAGAACAGTAAATAGGCGTGAAAAAACATGTCTAAGTGGGGTGCTCATTATAGAGTGCGAAAACCATAACGGCTACATATAAGAAGCGTGGGTGTGTGTTTGTGTGGGTACCTGTGGGAAGGGATCAGCAGAGGCGAGTAGCACATTCTCAGGTTTCAGATCACAGTGAACGATGTTCTTAAAGTGCAGATGTCTCAGAGCTGCAAGAATCTGCTCACACATCATGCATGCACACAACCACACAAACAGGATACTAGTTAGTCAGAAAGCCACAAACGTTCACCTCCAAAAAAAAAAACACTTTACACGACACAAGACATGTGCGCATGATGTAGCCCATATAGGCAGACCGCAGAAAAACCAGCAGCAGGACCTTTTAACGTGCAGACGTCATTCACACACATCAGCAACGCTTTGCATGTGACAGCTCATCTGTACAAACACAACTAATCCCTCCGTTGCTAGGGCACATACACACCTGTGTGATGAGGAACTTGGTGAGCCTCTCAGGCAATCTGCCTTTCTCACTCGAGAGGATCATCTCCAGCATGTCGCCATGTAGCTTCTCCATCACCACAAACACTTTCTCTGGGGTTTCAAACATGCACTCCAAGTTCACAATGCCCAGGTGACGTAAACTCTGAGAAGCATCACAGAGGAGGCAAAGGAAGGAAGAAATGGGGAAAATTTAGAGTGAAACGGAAAAAAATACGAGAGGGATTTGTGGAAGATAGAGTACAATATTTACAGAGACAGAGTGAGAATCGGAAGATGAGATTAAACAGTGTGAGAGAGGAACAGTGTGGCAGAGAACAAGATGACAAGGAGACAAGACAGAGAAAGATAATGTCAGTAAATTACAATTACCCACAGAAGACAGAATGTAAAACACAGAAGGAGGAACAGAAAATTGATTACGTCATGTTAAAACTCCAACAATGCTATAAATTGGTCTGTAAAAGCCCTCTTACGTATTGATCTATATATAGATATGACTCATTGAGTTTCACTGTCCTAAAGTCTGATAAATGTGGAACTTCTACTTCCATTAAGGGCCAACGGAATTAACAGTAGAACCAAATGGAAGGTCAGGTACTTTACTGACAGAGTTGTAAACACGTCTAGACCACAAATGGACAGAATGCTGCACCTCTATCTCCACCTGCTGGTCAATATTGTAGTGTACATTTAAGTATGAACTTACGCCAAACAAAAACCTCACAAGGATCAAACTGAGATGTATTTTAAAATACAATAATCCTAAATGAAAACAGAAGTATTAGGCCACACATTAAACAATAGAGAGGAGATCGTTGCCATCAAAAGGATACGAAAAACAAAATGACACCAACAATTTTCTAACGAATCTCCATCTTATTACACCTTTCACTAACATATTTGGCATGGAAGTATTAGTAAAGATTTGTTATAAAACAGTTAGAATATTACCGTATATGCTGAGTGTACATTTTAAAACTTAGGTTTTTGTTTCTCACTACAAATATTCTAATAGATTATTCATTCAGTACCATGCAATCATTTTTAACTTCTATAAGAAGTTAATTTCTAACTAAAACTAATCTTCTCTCAGAATTTTTAAAGCAGTTGGTTTCAAACCATTTTCTAGTTGTTTGTTGATGGGGCTTTTCATTATTTCAAAGAAGAAAAATTAGTCCTGCAAATGATGAGAAATCATGATCCTAAATGGTCACTTTGAATCACTTTAAATAGAATACTTGAAGTAAATACCACGCACATATTATATATAAACAATGACTCTAAACAATCTAAATTCAGCAATTTCCCTGACGTTTCCACCAAAGGGATCAATAAAGTTCTATTCTATTCTATTCTATTCTATTCTAGTGTCCTGAAATGTTAAATGAGGATGACTCATCAGTGGAAAACAAACTGTAACGGCAGACGTCAGTTATCAGATCTCTCTGACCTTTGTGGTGTTTGTAGATGGATACCTGCCTATTGTTCATCTGTACAGCACATCTCACTGTTTCCTAAAACCTTTGTCTCAGCGCATGAACACTATTGTCCTGTTAAAACACGCACAAGCACTAAACGTGTGGATTTCCTTTCCCTCAAATGTGATCACAAATCACACATGGGTTTGGTCAGATACTGAACCATTTGTTTCTAAGAGGTAACCACAGAGGGAAACACTTTCTGTACTTCCTATTAGAAATGGTTTCAGCTGAAATGACGAGTAATGACGTCTATTCTGCGTGTGTTTACCTGCAGGATGGCCACCTCATTCCTTAGCTGGCTCTCTTGCTTGGTGGGAAAGCGAAGCTTGTCAATGACTTTGACAGCGACATCTCTCCCCGTCTTCCTGTGCTTCCCTGAAGAAGTGGAGAGGTAGTAACAGATGTGACTCTGAGCTGGACCTAACATATATGTGTATGTACTATAAATTGAATTCTGTTACCCACAGTTTGAACTCTAGTGATTTAACAACATACTATGATAATGTCAAGCCTATAAGTGACAGTTAAAATGTTTTTTGTCTCCTTCCTGTACTCATACTGCAACTTTAATATGACAAACTTGAATGTGTAATGTTTGTGGTAATTTACGCAGCCTATAGCCTCCAGCCTCAAGTAGAGCTGACAAGCAGGCTACTAGGATCTGACAAGCTGATCTCCACACATTATACACGCCCAGATTTATTTTTTTTTTACAGATTTTCTCTGACAACTTAACTTGTCGCAATTTGTCTCAAAAGTGTAATTTTTCAAACATGTGTTCACCTCCAGATGTGTAAACAGACTGTGATGTGTATAATTGCACATAAACATCATACCAGTACAGTACATGCTTTGGGGGGTTTGTAATGTACTTTATTGTTTCTTTTTAATGTTTTACTTCGGACACAACAAGCTGAAGCTCATCGCTGGACATCGGTCTACATACCTCCGTACACTACTCCAAACTGCCCAGATCCCAGCACTTCATCAGCAAAAATCTGGTACACTGTGCCAATATCCTGTGCGAAAGCAATATGTCACACAATCATCATCATGCTCAGTGTGCATTTACATACACATTGAAGGAAATTGTTAAAATTGATAAAAAGTTATACCACATTCTCTTGGATTTGACTGTTGGACACAGATATGCTGATGGATGCTTGTCCTTGAAAAACAGCAACAGGAAGAACATACAGGTTATACAGTAATCAACAATTAAAAACTCACATGTATCGTATGTTTTGTATGTGAAGAAACACCTTGCCAGTGCCAGCTTAAAAGAAGTGTCGGCTTTTTGGTTAACCGACATATTTCTCAACTCACTGTGCGGTGTGTTGCCCTCAGCTGGCGGTGCATCCTGGAAGATGACTGGCATGAGGGCCTGGCGAATGGCGCTCTCCCAAGCCTTTGCCACCTCGCGCCCGATGCCACTGTTGGGGGCCACCTGGCTGGGGGAAGGAGGCGTCTGCGGGAGGGTCTGGGGGTTGCTGGGGGAAAGTGATGGGAGGGTGTTGGGGTCCTCCCCTACAAAGTAGCACATAGTGGCTGTGATGAGCTCGAAACAGTGGGGATTGGTGCCTTGTGGAACGAGAGTGAAGTCACTGGCCGGACGCAACTCCAGAATTTCAGATAGAGGGATCTCCTGCAAGAGGATGGGTGGATGGGTGAGCAAAAACTAGGTGCACGCTTCAAATACGTGATTTGAAATCAGAGCCCCTCGTGGAGTTAATGATACTTACCTTGTAGTATTTGTTGGAGGTGTTATTCTGGAAAAGGATGATGCACTTACAGTCCAGACGCCAGTAGTGCCTCTTTCTCTGTTGGGGGTTGGGGTGAGACAACAAACGTAAGAAAGGACATGGAGGAGTGACGAATGGGGCATGGATTGGGAATAAAGTTCAAGAATCAGGAGGAATACCTGAGCAGCCAGACGAGAAGAAGGATGAGCAGGACTACAAGCTGCAAGACGAGAGGTGTAAATGTAGAGAAAGACAAAAGAGACAATAGCAAATGAAAGAAAAAAAAGAATGTTAGTGCAGCCAGAGAGGGGGGAAAAAAACAAGTACGAAAAAGACTTTGGAGGCAAACAAATTTCTTTGAGGTCAAATAGATTTTGAATGCGAGGAGAGAGAAAAGGCAGAAAATGGGCTTTTAGACTGAATTCACCCCACATGGGCTGAGTGCTGTTATGTTTTCAGAGAGACTCAACTTCATCATCAATCAAGTATTCTTTTTTTTTCCCACGCGCATACACACACACTCACATAAACACAAATATAAAAGAGAGAGGAAGAAATAAAGTGCATAAAGGCAGAGAGACGAAATAATTAGAGTGCAAACTGCTGCCAGAGGAACTGCCCGACACAGAAAATGGACTGATGACTAGAAGGCACTTGTTATCTCTGAGTGAGAGGAAAGTAAACAAAAAAAAAAAAAACTTGCTGCAGTAAATCATAGAAAAGGGAGTGAAGAATGTGAATTCATGCATGTAGAATAAATTGACTTAAGTCTATATGTTTGGATACTTTTAGGAGGAAGACTGGTTTAGAAAGATATTTAGTCAGAGGATAGAGATGAAGTAATGTTTGTACCAGGGTGTCCTTATTGCTGTAGTGAACCATCCATCCTTCCTTGATAGCTGTGCTGGATCGACGAGTTGTCTGTCTCACCGACTGTACCACCCTCATCAACGGGATGTAAACACTGGAAGACGAAGCAGGACAAAGTTTAGGGGGTTACCAGGTAGGATGAAGTTTTTAACTGGTTTGACATTCCTTTGGTAGCTTTCTCCAAATGTTCATATTTTCTTAACACCTTTGGTCTCCGCTGGTTCCGTCCTGGTTGTTGTCAGGAGAAAAGGACCCAGGGATGCTGCAGGCTTCGTCCGAGTCGTCTATTGAAGACTTGTCTGAGGCGTCGTACTCGCTGCTGTAGTCCATCGGCACCTCCGGGTCTGCACTGGGACTCAACATGTCTGCAGCAAAAAACAAGGGAGAGAAGTGGTTGAATGCACTTTAATTTATAGTGACTCTTGAGATACTGTGGAAAAGGTACTGCTTATTGTTGCTGCCATGACTACTACAGCGGCTACTGTTATTATTCTATAAAAAGAAAGCACAGCTTGACATGCATCAGCACTGAGTACTGATAATACTCACCACAGTTACTTCTGTTGTCTGAGAAGATAAAAAGATTAGTGCCAGTGAGTTTCAATGTTGTTAGAATAATGTGTTATATCATGTATAGTTAATAAAGTAACCTTGTTCCGACAATGAAAACATGCAGATGAGAGATTTTATAAACTCCATGCAGGGTTAACAGTCTTAAACACGTCAGAAAGGTGATAAATATATATCTTCTCTCACCTCCAAGGGTCTCCCCGAGGCAGTCATTAGGAACCTTGTATGCACAGCGCTTATGGCAGTTGAATTTACAGTCTGCGAGGAATAAAACCCAGTTAATTCAACGTAAATTGCATGTCAGCTGATTAGATTGGCTAATATTCTGCATATGTCTTCACTCACCTTTGCACTGTAAACCCTGCCTGAACAGTCCTCTAAGAAGCCTCTTGCAGTACTGGCACACCGTCGGTCGCGTGTACGAGTGAACAGCAAACGTATGAGGCACCTTCACTTTGCTCATCAGGATCTTGTCCAGATGAACTGGTCGGCCCGTGTAGAAGCGCCGGGCTTCACTGGGGGTCCGTGGCTAGCACAACAGAGAGGAAACAGAAATAGAAACAATATTAATGACACTGACAAAATAAAAGTGACATTATCATCAACCTTTAGGAACCCAGTTAAAAACCACTAAACTCATTAACTGTTTCTTACTTTTAATCCTGTAATTCCTAAATTAAGATGATTTAATCAACTTGTTACCAAATAGCTGCTCATTCATACATCCAGTCATGACACAGCAACATCATCATTTATCTAGAGTTGCGTTTTGGGTCACCTGATGAACTGAACACCAATAATCACTCTCTTGTCGCTCTATTTTTGGTCTCTACCAACTCCTGAGGGAAATATGTGGAGCTTTAGCTGCAAAATGCTCGACTTTGTTTCCCAGCTAGCCTCTAAGCGTATCAGCCTGCTGTTTGTTGCTGAGCAGACAGTGGGTCTTTTGGGTTTTGGCACTGAAAACAGGTACATGCTGTAGCCAAAATATGACACCCAAAATAAGTGCATCAAAACAGGGAAGCTGCTATTCGAATGAAAGAGTAGCATTTAAAGGACAGATTTAAGGGCTGCAGTTGTAGGACTGTTTTTCATTAACTTTGGGCCAGATAACATGATGAACACTAGTTTACAACAATGGCAAACAAAAACTTTTAAGTGGAATAAACCTTTAAGACCATAGCTTGTTTGTTCTAAAGTACTGTTTGGGTGGAATAAACCTTTCTAACTATATATACTTGGACAGAAAGTAGTATTTTGAGTGGAACAAACCTTTAAAAACAATTCATTTGTTAGAAGATAGTAGTTTAAGTGGAATAAAGCATTAGAACTTCAACAACTTGGACAGAAAATAGTATTTTGGGTGGAATAAACCTTTAAAATCATAATTTACTGCTACTAAGTAGTACTTTGGGTGATATAAACCTATAAAAGGCCTTTGTTGGACATGAGCATTTAGGATGAAAATAAATCTTCAAAACTATAAGTACGTGGACAGAAAATAATATTTTGGGTTGAACAAACCACTAAAACCACAAGTAGTATTCTGGGTGGAATAAATCTTTAAAGTCATAAGTCATGCACTTTAGCAATCATCCAAATTGAAAGGTTGCAACGAACAAAGGTCCCGAATGAGCGATGCTGAAACTGCAGCCTCCTCTTCTGCAGACACATTATGTTGAATGAAACTCCATAAAAACCTGGGAAATTGTAGTTCCAGGTGATAAATCTGTGTATATTTATCACTATGAGTGAGCCATTTCATACCATCAGATTGTTTTTGACATTGAGATCTAATACGGCACAGAAAAAATATCAACTGTAGCTGCTTTAAGCTTCTGTTTCCTCTCTAATTAAATGGCTTCCTTACATCATCTTTGTAATTGGAGTAGATTAACAGGGGAAATCAGTCAGCAATAAGCATTGTTGCCTTGAATGAGCTAATCTGTTTACTTGAAGGGTGCACATTTATTACAGTGACTACATACTGCCTCTAGAGGAATGCAGTTGTGCTGGTAGTTTTGACGGTTCTGAGATGGATATCTCAAGGTTGTGAGATGGAAATCTCAAACCTCCAAAACTGCATGCCTTAACTACATGTCTATGTATATATGAAGCTTAAAATTTCAAACTAAGATTTTTCACTGCCATTTAAATGTCCATTCCATACATAAAACTTTCTACATCAGTGGCTAAGGTGGATTTACCCAGTTTTACACAGCATGATGCACTCAACTAAAAGTTTTCCAGTGGACAGCCTACTTCATTTTGACACAATAAAAGGGACCATAGTATTGAGAGAATGAATTCACCATTTGTGTGTGTGAGCGAATGAGGCTGGTGTCTTCTGCACAGGTGGACGTCGTCCCCACACTGTACACTGACTCAGTTGTGGAGAGACGCAGGGACTGGCTGCTGCTCAGGGAGGTGGTGGACAGGCGACGTTTACGAGCTCCACTACAGTTGTTGGGGATGCTGAAGGCGCAGCGCTTGTGGTAGTTTAGGCCACATCCTGCAGGGGGCGGCATGGACCAGCAAGCCAGGGAGCAGCCGACAAGCAGAGCAGGAGAAGGAGGATATGTTGTTAGTTTTACTATTCATTCAGTGAATTTCTTTTTCCCACTTCATCTCCTAATTTTTTCTCACCGTCACACTTGAGCCCTTGCCGGACCAGTCCGAACAGCATCTCTCCACAGTGATCACAGAAGGCCGGGGCCCGGTATGAGTGCACATTGAGGGCATGGGGCCGAATCTGGAAATCTTCAAATGTGGCCGCCGCTATGAGAGATAAAAGGGGAACAGTGTGACCACAATGTCTGTCAAGATACAATCATACTTCTGCAACAGGGCAGAGTGTACGATGATTAGATGGATAACATTGAAACAGGATGGAAAACTACACTGAGTTTCTTCCTGATGCAGGAGCATTGCAGTTTGAAACACTGAGAGAACAGATTAGGCTGGTGTGAGATACTGTGTAGTCAAATAGGCAGATAAGGACAGATTTCATATTGACTTAGAGAAGAGAAGAGAAGAGAAGAGAAGAGAAGAGAAGAGAAGAGAAGAGAAGAGAAGAGAAGAGAAGAGAAGAGAAGCCGTCTTACCAGAGAGCACCACCTCCACCAGATCTCCCTCCTGAATGTCACCAGCAGCTTTAACTAGTTGCAGAATGTTGTTGGTCGACGTGTCGTGTTTGAACAGCAAAATCTTGTCATAAATGCCATAAAAGCCGCACTCTGGAAACTGCAACATACAAAAAAAGAACACAAAAGGAAAATAGGTTAGAAGGATTGACCGTGAAAAAGCCATGAACATCATGACTTAAGTCCTAAATTAAGAAAATGGTTGTTGCACGTCATATAATTTAATAAATGGCTTTATATCAGCTACGAAAGTGGTAGCAGTGGTGATATTAGCTTTCAGTGCTGACAAGTAAAACGGGTCACTGAGCTTCTGTTAGTGACAGAAAATGCTCAAATAAAAAGGGAGAGTGAATACACAATCACAACCAACCAGCTATAACGAGAGGAAACAAGACATCTGATGGAAGTGAAAGGACACAAACATGCATAAACGCATTCAGTGCTAGAACAAGGAACTTTTTTTTTTTGTCATTCTGTCAATTAAAGACATGATTTCAAAAAGTCATGGTTTAAAATTAACATTTAAAAATATCAAGGATGTGCAGAGGTAGCTCTCAAAAGTTTTCTTGTGTATGTTACACTTCATCGCAAACATATGAAAAAAACTTTAACATGTTGATGTTTTTCAAGGAAATAGCAAAGCACATGCAAAATGTCAATGTAAAAAACAAATGTCTTGCCAAAGGGACTCTGATATTTTTAATTTTGAAAAGATTATCAATGATTGGTTGATAAATAGTAATGAAATATTGTTTTGATTGTCACTCTCAATAAACCTGTAGAGACAGAATCTTAGACTTTGTCTTTGGTCACTGTACCTTACACTATTCTACCACAAGCTATTGTCAAATATTGCCCAAACTCAACAATCAAAGTCTAACAAAGCACCTACAGGTTGGTCTTTATAACTTCATTTCTTGTGATTATACATCCATAACTAAATATATCATGCCCTGCTATGAATAAAGCTCCTAGAATATATAACTGCCTGCACACGCACACAGACAAAGACACTCACACGCACAAAGATACACACACTGTTATACAAGAAACACAGGCTGAATTCCAGAAATCAAGCAACTCGGTCAATGTGGAAAGCAAGACAAAGGAGAAACTTTATCCTGTCTTCCTATCAGTCATATACCCGCACACACACTAACACACATGCGCAGGTGTTTCCATGAAGCTCTTCCAGAGATATGAGAGATGAGAGTGTCAGTCAGAAGTCAGCAGAGCGAAGGAGGCTGTCATAGGGAAACCCTGCCCTCCTGAATAGTTAATGCTGTCTGGTTCACTTCAGTGGCTACACCACACAGGACACCACCGGTACAGAGACAGAGAGACCGAGAGAGAGGGGAGGGGATGGAAGACGTTCACTGGGTTTTAAAATGAACTTGTCCAGAACCGGACCAGACCAGAAAGAGGAAGAGAACAGGTTTAGGTGTTTCATTCTGACCAGAAGACACAGTCGTCTTTCCCTGCTCTCTTGCTGTTGTTGTTGTTGTTGTTTCTCCCTCTCCCCTCTTCCCCCCGCTGTTGGAGTCAAGATTCACCATCTGGCCCGGAGCTCTAACAACTTACAGGAAGGGGAACCTTGGTCTCCACCTCAGACCGACACAATGACACACACATACACCTCCTCGCTCACCAACAGACACACCCTCCTTTGCAAACAGCAACACACACCCTCCACTTGTCCCCCCACCGCTTCCCTTCTCTTCTCCTCGACACATACACAGTCTGCCTCTCCGTTTCCCAACAGGCGCTCCACATCACCACATCTGAAATCCAGGCCCGGTTTGTACAGCTGCCAAGCTACACAGTGAGCCCGCCACGCCCCAGCAGTGGGCTACTGCTGCTGACCACACAGTCAACAGCCAGACTCCAAAAGCACAGAATAGCCTTTTTTTTTTTTTTTTTTTTTTTAAATGTGTAGAAGATATTCAACTTGTTTATCAACTTTTTTTCAACCTATAGAGCTACAATATAAGGATGGAACATCAACTCTTGCAGCAGTAACAACGTCTAAGGGATTTCTAAGCAAATCAATGTAGTGCAACCATTTAAATAAAACACCTTTATGATCCACTTACTGAGTTGGTTTGATACTTGCAATCCAGTTTACACATCCAGCAGTTAGACAGTACCCCTACCATTCATTTAACGTTATATTTCCAGCCATCTGATGAATATTTCACATCTTACATTTTCTAGCCTTCCAGCTCTGTTTTTCTCTCCTCTCCCCTGATAGAATGTTTTTTAGCTCCTAAATGCAGCACCTTGTTACCAGTTAGTTTCTAACACCGTTTTTGGATACTTTTTGCTGAAAACAGCTGCTTGTCCCATTCGGGAATAACACTGACGAGAGCGGAGAGAGTGAACCACAACAGTGAAGTCACTGGATATAAAATCAAAACAGTGTCGAGAAGCTCAGTAAAGTTAAAAGGAACTGCAGGTTTGGTGATAAATCTCTAAGAGCGATAACTTTTACATACAAGAAGCCATGTGATACACTGTTAACATCATAGACATGGAGGAGGTTCTATTTTCCTCAACTGTAAAGTATCCATCTCTAACGTCTGAAAAGGTAGAATGTCCACCTGCAGAATGAGTTTGGGAGATGTGCACTACACTGAACCAAAAGCAGAAAAAGAGCAACCACATGGTCCTACAATGAGGAGGTTCAGAGGCAGCAGAATGCATGATCATCCCCAGGTGTAGCATTTTACCATGGCTTAGTGAAAGGAAACTCTTTTCAGTCAGTAACTCAAGCAAAACAGATTTATATGATGGTTAAAATGTGCAGGATTAATGTCTAGGCTCTTACTTGCCACAAAGAAGAGCTAACTTCCACACAGCAGGGAGTAAAGGGTGAGGAACAGACTCAGAGACTACCAGTGGATGGTGGGGTGAATGTGGAACTTGCTATTCCACTGTTATACGAACAACAGCAGTGGTGGTAGCAGAAGAAGCAGCAAGCAACGGTGACCGATGGCTTTAAGTGCACTGCTATGACTAAAGGGCTCACTGGACATGTGCTGCAGGGACAGAATCCCATGTGAGTGTAGCAGCGACAAAAGTCTGCAGCATAATGTCTTTCCACATTCAGTAACCCATTATTGTGAATAATCCATAAATCAAGCTATCAACAGCTTTCAAAGCGACAAATCTTTGGTCATAGTTTCCGTGAAGACATTTCTTTGAGGCCTGTGGATTATGCAGAGTAGCAAAGCCACTGTGTCCAGAAAAAAAGATGCTGCTGTTGAATTATTGCCACAAATGAGGCACAAAAAAAAAAAAAAAAAGGAGGCAGAAATATCTCAAAAACTAGCCAGATAAAACCAAAACTATTAAACGTCCACATGCCACTAGCGCTAAGTGAGAAAAATAAGTTGTTTTTTCTTTGTTTTTGTAATTTTGAGGGAAAATATCTTTAATTCTAACAGACGTCTGGATAGATGTTTCTGGCCTTGGATCAATTAGGCGACACAGATACTAATGAGAAAAGGCTCCAAACTTTCCCAAATCCAGACTTAAAGACCCAGGAGTGACAGGAATGAATCATGTAATGACTACATGCATCAGTACCTGGGATTGCCACAACTAAGACCAACTGTTGCCATTTGTAATTACAAACACCCGCAAAGCCCAGATCAGAGGAGACTCCCAGCTCTGCCCAAATCCACAGACAACCCTCGCCTAAGTCTTCTCTAAGCCCCGAGGCGCTGTTTGATGCCAGCCTCTCTGCTATTAACCCCAAACTGTTGCTGCTTACTTCTTTTCCGAGCAACTCGAGAAACAAGTCAATATTATCCTGCACCTACTCTCCAAAACATACACAATGCGCCGACCACAACTGCAGCTGCCACGTCTTGTGCAGACCACAAGTCTTTACAGCCCCACTGAAAAGCACAATATCCAAACTCCCCCAAAACCACTGTTCCCTCGGAGAAAATAACCATTTTTCTTTTCCTCTCTCCCCGTTCCAGTTTTCAGTGAAAGTAGAGGGTGGAAGGAGCACAGAAGGAGCATATTACTTCTATCTGTGTGTCAACATGGCGAAGAAATGACACTGTTTGTCTTGTAATGGCATGATCGCCTCTATGTGTTTGTGTGTACACTGTGCATTTGGCTGTGAGGGTAAAGGTTAGGAGTACTGTTACAGGAGATTGTGTGTGCATATGCATGAGTGTGTGTGCAGTCTGCAAACAAAGAGCTGGCTGTATTATCATATATGCTGTAGTATAGTGCAGTGTGGTTTGCCTGGAGACAGGGTGGGTCTCTAGCTGCTTTCTTTGAGTTACCAGAGATCAGGTTGCCCAGCATTGCCTGCACTATTCCTGCAGCTCTTCGGGCCAATGAAGCCATTATGAGTGAAATGAATTATGGACTAGGCTTTCTTTATCCAGTCCCCCGCCTTTGTTTCCCATCACTCTTATTTTCCTCTTCAGTGCTTCTTCTAGACGATCCAACTTTCCTTATTACCCTCCTTTATATTAGTTGTTCTAGTTTTGTCCCCTGCTTTTTTGGAGACACGTTGACTAGAAACAAGGCAACAATTGCCTTGTAAAGTAGATTAAATGCATAAAGGAAAACATTCTGTCATCTTTTGTGATCTTTGCCAGCTGGTAACGGGGTCTTCAGTGTGGTCCACTCCCTCTGCCTCAAGACTGAGGGGATGTTTAGGTCAGCTGGCCTTGTCCGCTTTGTTCACACCTATAATGTGACTAATGTATTTTCTTCAGAAGTTTGATGCTTGACCTTGTGTTCTGGACATTATGAAAGGATTTACCATGCACCCAGACAAAGTTCATAGCACAGGAATCTAGAAAGACTTAGAAGATTGCCTATCTCTATTGTCTTACTGAAGTGTTTTAGCCCTTTATCTATTTATGTGACTCTCAAAGTCTCATTAGCTTCATTGAAGGATACACACAACATTAAAACCATCTGTCCAATACTGGATAGGTCCCCCTTGTGCCAACAAAACAGCTCTGATTCATCAGGGGATGGGCATGGAACCTCTGGAGGTGTCCTACGGTGTCTGACACCAGGACATTGACATCATTTGGTTCCTCTGTGTTACTGGGTGGGGCCTTC